TCTGTAACCGAGCAAAAATCTTCTGCCAGAACGAACTCAAGAAAACCCGGTCATGATCGGTTATGATAGTGGAGGGAACCCCATGATGTCGTACAACGCCATCAATGAACGCCTCGGCAGCTGACTTAGCTTTATACGGGTGACCCAGATTCATGAAGTGTGCGCACTTGGTGAGGCAATCCACCACCACGTAAATAACCGAGCGACCTCCCACGCATGGTAACCCTTTGATGAAATCCATCAAAATTTCCTCCCATACTTGTCGCGGAATGGGTAGCGCTTGCAAGAGCCCTGCTGGCGTCAACCCTGCCACCTTAACACGCTGGCAAACATCACAAGACCCCCACATAGTCTCTCACCGTTTGCGCCATCTGGGGCCAATAGTAGTCACCCTGAAGCCGTTGCAGCGTACGCTCCATACCCGAGTGCCCACCACCTGCCGAGTCGTGAAAATCCTTGAGAACAGTGGTGATTAGGGATAATTGCGGAGGAAGCACGACTCGATGCTTAAAGAATATCAACCTGGACTTGTACTCATATTCTCCCGAGTCGCTCGACATTGCCTTGGTCCAAAGCTCTTGCAAATAGGGGTTACCTATGACTGCTGCCTAGACCTCATCCCAGAATGTCGAGGTCTGTGCTGTCAAGGAGTGAACCACAGCGCCTCCCCCGCTTCGTGACAACCCATCCGCGACTTTATTAGTTAACCCCGACTTGTAGAAAATCTTGTAGTCGTACCCCATCATCTTGACCACCCATTTTTGTTGATCCAGGGTAGTGATCCATTGGTCCATCATGTGACGGAGACTCTGCTGGTCAGTATAGATGTAAAAAGTTCGCCCCAAAAGATATGGTTGCCAAAACTGCACCGCAAGAGTAATGTCCAGCATTTCCTTCTGATATGTCGACCACGCTTCCTTAGACGGCCCCAGCGTTCGGCTCATATAGGCTACCGGATGCCCATTCTGCGAGAGAACGGCCCCTACTCCTTTCCCTGACGCGTTCGCCTCTATTACAAACAACTCATCAAAGTCAGGCATGGCCAAAGTCGGAGTCGTGGTCATGGCTCTATTCAAGTTTTCGAACGCGACCTTAGCCTCGGGATTCCAGCTGAATTGTCCCTTCTTAAGCAGCATCGTGAGGGGTTTATTGATCAAACTGTATCCCTAAACAAATTTGCGGTAGTACCCCGTCAATCCTAGCAATCCGCGGAGCTCAATGACGGTGCGAAGTCGCGGCCAGTCCACCATCGCCTTGATCTTGACATCATCGACCTGAACACCTCCTGGGGATATCATGTGGCCGAAGTACTCCAGTCGTTGGTTCCCAAAAACGCACTTAGTCTTCTTCAAATAATACTGATGATGTCGAAGCAGTTCTAGGACAGTTTGGAGATGCTGCAAATGAGTAGCCCAATCCTTGCTATATATTAGTATATCATCGAAGAATACCAGCATCGATTTTCGCAATAGGGGTCGAAAAACCTCATTCATTGCAGCTTGGAAAGTCGATGACACATTACACAATCCGAATGGCATGACGACATACTCACAGTGCCCGTTGTTAGTATGAAAGGCGGTTTTGGTGATATCCTCCTCGTGCATACAAATCTGATGATATCCCGCTCGTAGATCGAGCTTCGAGAAATACTTGGCGCCGTGCAGCTCGTCCAGCATGTCGTCAACAATAGGGATGGGAAATCGATCCTTGATCATTTTCTTGTTGAGAGCTTGAAAGTCTGTGCAAAACCACAACGTTCCGTCTTTTTTCTTTACCAGCAAGACCGGGGATGGATAAGGGCTCGAACTGGGCCGAATGAGTCATGATTCCAGCATCTCCTGAACTTGGCGCTCCATCTCCTCCTTGTGGAAGTGAGCATATCGATATGGTCGCACATTGATCGCCTCCGTGCCATCCTTGAGAGTAATTCGGTGGTCGACTGCTCGGCGTGGTGGCAAGCTAGTCGAGACTTGGAATAAGTCCCCAAACTGGTCGACAAGGGCCTGCATCTCCGGTGGAATCTCGGTCGCAGTCCCCTCGGCGTCGGGCATGCAGATGGCCCATACGACCACATCTTGGGCATGCAAGTGGTGAAGCTCGTCAACTCACGTGGTAGTCTTCCTGATACCCTCGAGATCGACCCAGTGCCCCGACTTTCGAAATTGGAGGGTTAACTTCTCCCAGTCCACGGTCACCGGTCCCAAGAGTTGTAGCCACTGAATCCCGAGGACCACGTCCAATTTGAATCGGTAGCTCGTAGAGATTGACCTCAAGAGTTTCCTCTTGAATGGTGAGAGCGACGGCTTCGTAGCAGCGGTTACACGTGAGTGTCTCTCCGTTGGCCACCAGTACATAGAAGGGAGGAATAGGTCTCGTCGTGAGAGATAGGGTTTTCGCAACTTCCCGAATGATGAAGTTATGGGTAGACCCGCTATCCACCAGAGCCACGATGTTTCATAACGCGATCTTGCCCTCAAACTGCAGCATCGTCGGGTGAGAGACCCCGGTCAGCGCGAAGACCGTGATCTCGGCGTCGGGTGATTCTTTGATCACCGATTGAACCTGGTCGCCGTCACCTCTGTGGTCATCGGTGGCGATTCCCGCAGCGGTGGTGATGGACACGTTCTCCGGAAGCTCCTGGAGATCGTCTTCCTTTGTCGGCCCTGGGAGCCGCAGCAGCAAGCTCAATTCTTTCGAACCAGGCTCGATAGCAATTGATGCATTGGCGAATGAAGCATTGGAGCGCTCGAACAATAAAAGTAAATAAACAAGGGTTTAGGGGTTTTCTTCTTCTTCTTCTTCCGATCTTATTACTCGAACAAACTTATATAGGGTTCATACAATAACTTGGAAAGAAAGTAACTTAACCTAGTCCGATATAACTAAGGAAACAAAATAAACAAAGTAACTAGGACCCGCCGTCTACTCGGCATACTTTGTATTGGGCCGCGAAACCCGATCACTTCTTCGTGGCCCATCCGACGGGTTCACCGTCTTCGGGACAACCACATACGCGTCACACGCGTCACTTGATCAAAAGGAGACTTAAGAGAATTCAATCAGTTTTTTATGTTAAGTGGAAGAGGATAAGAGAAGAGAATTTATTTACTCAACTCTTTCTTGGGGGAATTAAGATGAGTGTACCTAGATAATATATATATATATATACATGGTGATATTTTTTATGGTGTTAGTCTCAACTCTTTCTTGGGGGAATTAAGATGAGTGTACCTAGATAATATATATATATATATATATATATATACATGGTGATCATTTTTTATGGTGTTAATATGTTAGACTAGGTTTACCAAGTTAATGACGATGTCGGATAACTAGATATATAAGTCTCTTTACGTTTAGAAACGAGAAATTATGTTAGTATGAAAAAATTTATTCAGTTGTATAATGTTGTGCTCTCACAAACTCAGAGAATAGATAAATTAGTATTCACAAATAATTTTCTACAGAAACTGAACCACAAATCGAAGTTATGATCATAATCGTAGGTACGATCATGCAAGAGAAGATGACCAGGACAACATAGAATATAAGGCAATGAGTTGGCGGAATAGAAGAGATCACGTTGATTCGTGAACCCAAAGACTATCGTACGGTACGAAAGAAATTCATATATTGGATAATTAATGCTTATAAGTTCTATTTAATGTTGCGAATAGGGGGTCAAAATGCTAATAAAAACCCGAGTTTGCTTTATTTGCATGCACTACAATCCAAGGATCATCTTTCGATTATGATATTTTGCAGAAATGTAAAGGTGATGCTGAAGAAGACAAGGTTCGAAAATCAAAGATGTGCAACGTCCCGCTTTACTTGGCGTCACTCTTCGCTTGAACGATGTTGCTCCAGCTAACGAATTGCTCCTTGATTTGCATTATCCCGAGAACAACTCTTGAGCACAAAAATTTTTTGTTTATCAATTCTTCTGTTACTATATTAACATCAGTGGTTCTACGCTATAAATGCAACATAATGAGAGAGAATATGATAAACAAAAAAGTTTGTTGGAGGACCTAAACCTGATGCCGCAAGATAAATCTGAAGTCATGTGTTATCGTCGTCAAGCAAGAATTAAAGGCCACATGTACATTTAAATTATTATGATTAAATTTTAAGAAATTTTATAAATAAATCAGTATATAAACATCCATGACTATATAAGTTCCCTCACATCACATGAATTCGACTATATTTTCTAATCTGGTGGCGTTCCGTTATACAAATAATCCAAAATCATTGAATGGACATTTGATAACTAATTAGAAACAACTAGTATTCAAGTAGTATAAATCTCAACATGCCCAATTCGACCACATTAGAACATAACCCCACACCCAAACATCGCCAACAGGATTGCAATTCACATGTGATCCAAGGTCAACTGGTCAGGCCACTCGATCGAGGTGCAGTCGGTGTGGAGTACTGTTGGCAGTGGAATGACCTACCATCCCATGCCATCCATCAAGAGGTCAAAAGAATCTCTCCTCTATGAAGAAACCTCCACGTGTCAGCCCCACGTGTGGATCCTGTCCTATTTTTGCCTAACACAACTGTTTTTTCCCCTTCCACTTCATCGCCACCTCACTATATAAACCACCATTCTCCCTCTCCCTCCAACATTAATCACCATTGTCATCTCAATTCTCAACATTCCTCCGAAATTCCTGCATCTTTCTCTCTTTCCTTAGATCCCTTTTATCAATCATTTCTTGTACTAGCTCCGAGTCCTTGATTAGAGTTGGTAAACTCTTTTTTCGTAAAGGGGAAAAAAGGCGGCCCAGGAATCTTCATACCGAAAACCAGCTAAACAACCACTCGGCCAACGAACGCAGAGTTTGTGACTCTTTGTGGGAACAAGAATGTAGCTGAAGAAATGGGGACGACGTTTGATGATGACGGCAGTCGACGAAACCGTTCTTCTAGTGGCTTAAAACCAACCTGAAGGAAACCCTCTTCCCCGCCGATCCTTTAGAGAGCTCATGAAGCAGCTGTGTGCTTCAAGAAAGCTGGTGCTTGGGCTGCAGTACTTCATCCCGATCATGGAGTGGGCTCCGCGCTACAACTTCGCCTTCTTCAGAGCCGACCTCGTCGCCGGGATCACCATTGCCAGCTTGGTTGTGCCTCAGGGCATCAGCTATGCCCAACTCGCCCTCCTTCCTCCCATCATCGGACTCTATAAGTTACCAGCTAGCTACCACTTAAAAAATTAGTAGTTGTTAACGCACCAACAAACCACTTAGTCACCATTTAGTATTAATAACTCGATCCAGTCGTTGGAAAAGGGCTTGTATAAATTTTTATTTCTTAACCAATCCTCTCAAAACAAAGCGTATTTTACGAGTTTTTTAATTTGTACAGGTTGAGTATACATCACTTATGCTAAATTATTAGTCTTTTAATTGGTACATATTAAACATATATATCACCTATTGCGCTAAATCATTATTTATACTGGGATCGTCACAAGAATTAACCTCTCAATCGAAAGTTCTGATATCATATTAACAAACAATCCATTTAATCTCAATAAACTGAATTGTTGGGAAAGAGTATGTATGAATTTTTGTTTCTTACATACTAGAGAAAACTTAACATTTTTGCGACGGATCAATTCGTCGCTAAGATCTAAAAGTTCATCCCTAAAGACATCATCGACAGAATTCGTCTGAATTTATATGATTGGATTGTTGATTAAGTCGATAATAATTTCATAACAATTATGGTATTCTTTTTTCTTTGTTGGGTACGTGTAGACTCGAGCTTTGTGTCGTCATTGGTGTACGCGATGCTAGAGAGCTCAAGGGACTTGGCGGTGGGGACGATGGCGTCGCAGCTGATATCGACCATGCTGGGGAAGGAAGTGAGTCCCATGGAGAATCCAAAGCAGTACTTCCAGTTGGCTATAACGGCTACTTTCTTCGCCGGAATATTTGAAGCTAGCCTTTTATTTCTCAGGTGACTGAGCCTAGTTTAGTCAAGGAAAATTAACTTTTTCTCTGCGTAATTAATCGTCACGTGATACGTCTATGTCAATTTTACCATGGTGTGACATAACGAATATTGCAATGTAGATGATTAGTTTGGGGAAGTGATTAATCAAGCTCTTAAACATTGATTGGCCAAAGAATAAGGGGTTGTTAATAGTAATGTATAAATGCAGACTCGGGTTAATTGTGGACTTCTTGTCGCATGCGACGATAGTTGGGTGCATGAGTGGAGCAGCCACTATAGTTTGCCTGCAACAACTTAAAGGAATGTTGGGATTGGTACACTTCACCCATGAGACAGATGTAGTATCCGTTATGCGTTCCATATTCACTCAGACGAACTAGGTAATTATTAATGGATTAATTGTATTCGTTGCACATACATTTTTCGGTGCAGGACTCATATTCGTCATTATGATAGGGTGATTCATTTCAAAATGATGTCATTTGTAACATAATGAACAAGAGAACACATCAATTTGCATAAAAATCTGCCGAGATTTACTTTGATTTGAAGCATTTAGGGTTGGGGTTTAAGGTTTACAATTTGGGGTTTATGGTTATGGTTCGGAATGGAAGGTGTATGACTTAGGATAATGCATTGATTAGTTGTAATCCTAGATTTATAATCATATTTTTTTTTACAATTATGTTTATAATCATATTATACTGATGCCGCCAAGTAAATTTCAAAATTCAATGTCTTAAAACCTAATTTTACAGTTGGGTGCATAATATGTAGTCATTTTTTATTAAAAATTATTGGTTCACTAATTAATTACAGTGGGGTTTCTAAATTAACATCTAATTGTTGTTGGATATTGCAGTGGAGGTGGGAAAGTGGGATTCTAGGCTGTTGCTTTCTCTTCTTCCTCCTCACCACCATATACTTGGTAAGTGCATTGTCCAACTTTTTATAACAGAATAAAAGTTGTTAATCCTTCTAAGATATAGTCAACTGATTTGAATCTGTTGATGAAATGATTTAATGGTGAAAAAACAAAGCAAGAAGAAATCCTACTTCTTTTGGATAAATGAAATGGTGCCTCTCACGTTTATCGTCCTTGGAAGTGTCCTTGTCTATCTCACCCATGCCGAGAAACATGGTGTTCAAGTGGTGAGTAATCTAGTATAAACACATGTTAATCCATCATTAAGCCAATTAATTATGATTACCAGTCAGCTGCAACACATTCACCAAATTGAAAGCTGAAACACTCTTCTGGTGGGCAAATTGGGAACCTCAATAAAGGGTTGAACCCACTATCCATATCGGACTTAGCATTCGGTTCGCCCCATTTGATGGCGGCCGTTAAGACTAGGATCATCATGTTTGTCCTGTCCTGCCCCATTCTCGACTCATTCTATCTCAATTTTTTACAATATATAAAAATATTTCTCTTATTTTGACTTTTCTTCAACTAGTTAGTAGTTAGAGTCAATCTTTCAACTAGTAGATTCAATTACTCATTCTATTATTACTATTTTTCATTCATATAGTGTTTTCACTTTCGTTTGATCGTAAAAAGTAAAATTTGCATGTATTTTTTTCAAATAACATGTAAGAGTGGGTCGACACTCCCCGTACCCGCACGGGTTTTACCCGCACGGGTTTTACCCGCCCCGACCCGTAGTAGCGTGGGGCGGGGCATGGATATTGAGGTACCCGCCCAGCCCCGCCTCATTACCATCACTAGTTGCCTCGGTGGATTGAGAGTTTTATCACAAGACGTCGTACGTGTTATGGTTTGCATGTCGAACTCCAATGATTATGAAATCGTACTAGAGCAAAAGAGTTTGTGGCCAAGTGGTCGTACCGCTGGTCTCCAATTTCGAGCCATCAGGTTTGAATCTCAAGGACAACACTTGTTTCACCATTTCCCGACCGTTCTAGTAGCATACCTTGTAACAGGTTTCTAAGAAAAAAAACGTACTCGAGGTTATACTAGACTATCTACGGTAAAGTATTTTATTCCAACTGTGCTTTAACTGCTTCCTACCATTAGTGGCCATTATCCATAATTTTCATCCACGGGCCAGTACGTATAAACATTGAGAAAACATTGTGCTTCACCTTCACCTCTCTTGCTCTTCTCTATGAGTGGCAATTAGTCGGGTTTCCCTAAATCTTCATCATCCTAAATAGTCAAATTCGTACACATCTCATACTGATGTGGGAAAAGATTTTGTAACCCCATCCCTATAACCGTGTTTTTCGGGTACCCGTGGATAATACCGGCCTCGTATATCTAGTATTTATATACCTAGAATTCAACATGTTGATCTTCAATTATAACAATAAACTAACCTAATATATCACGAAAGCAACAAACATAGTGTCATTCTCAATACGAATTCAAATCATCTAATACTAAAATATGCATTAATTCATAAATCAAAGTATATATTATCCAAATCATTCATTTCTAAGTCGACAAATCTACTGGGCAATGAATAACTAACATAATATTGTCAGCAAAGGGAAAATAAGTGAAAGAATGAAGAGGAATTGAGTGAAATAAATCAGTGTTTGATTTCGGTGGCCACTCAACTACGTTTCAACTCTTTAATTTTTTCAAGTACTCTCCCTATCATTTATAGAATAGAGAACAATATTATTCCTAAATTTTTAATATAATAAAGAAATAATTTTTGTGAGGCAACATGGATATGTAATCATTATAAGGCAAGTAGGCTAAAACTAAAAACGTCTCATCCCATAAAAAATTGCATTTTAACACCATATATGCCTCATGCACAGTAAATACAAAACTCTCCATTTGACTGGATCGGGATGGTTAGTTTTTTATTGTCATCCCTACTCTCCTCTTTCCAATATGCACAACCAATCAAACTCGCAATTTCAAACATCCCAAGCCCGCCTATTGAAAACTAACCTCCGCCAAAAGTCTCAAATGTGATTAAGAGTCATAACCCGAAAAGACACCACTATCTAACTCCCATTTGTAGTTGACAGAGCGAACCTCGCACCCTAGTGATATTTTCTCTTTGATGTTTGTGAATGGTGACGATCTTTTCTATGTGATGGTTGATGTCTTGCTAGTTGGTACTCGCTCATTGGATGAATACATTTGATTATTTTTTTTATTTTATGCATTGAAATTTGAATTTAAATTATAAATTCAGGACGAATGTTGTATTGATATTATTTCTTATGTTCATTATTTTATGTTAGCAATGTAGACATGTAGTTAAATTAATTTGAATTATTTATGATTATTCATCTTTAATATTTAGTACTCTTGGTCATTCTTATGTTTGTGGATTGGAAATTATGTTAAATAACACTTGTTAAACTTAATTGGATAATGATTTGTGTATTACAAGTGGTTATTACTTTGTTTTATGATATGTTGTGAAAGAAAATCGAAGCTATTGGTTCGATTAGATATAACCATAGTTGTGGAATGTATGTTAGTAGTTATTTGTTAACCGAAAAACTAACCGCTAACCGAATCGATAAAAGACGGTTAACTGATAAGCATTATCGATTCGATTATCGATATGAGTTTTTAATTATTATTAACAACTAACGGTTAGGGGTGGGCATGTGGGTGGTTAATCCGCATGTCGATTTCAATCCACCCACAAATAATATGAACCACATGCTATGGGTGATTGATGTGGGTGGATTACTTGATAAATCTCCTACATGCACTTGTGCGGGTGGGTGGATTGCAGGTCACCCGAATGATCCGCACCATATTTTCACATTAAAAAAATGTGGTTCCTATACTATCGAATATTCATCATATTTTCTAAACGCCCTATACACTGACCATCTACTTCTAAAGGTGGAGAATAAATAATATTTTTGGACTACTATTATTGGTCATTGTGTTGAGTAATATCCATTATATATTGATATGCAAATTATAAACACTTAACTATATTAAAATTCACAAAATGAGTCGGTTTTATCTACACAATTAGTTGATAAAATAATGAAATTTTTTATGTAAATACTACATGGATTCACATGAGACAAAGCACGAAGTGTCTAAATTGATGTAATCTTACTAATTTGCAAGTAACTTATTATAAATGTTAGGAAAGTTTCTTGATGGCTAGTTGGAGAATTGCTTTTGCGAATTAACTCACAGTCCAACAACACCCATCCACCACCTATCCAACCCAACCCGCAAAAAAATGTGGTTGGATAGTGGGTTACAATTATACCAACTCGCTAATAAACGGGTTACAATTATACCAATTCGCTAATAAGCTAGTGAGTCAATTTAATACCAAAATCCACCAACTTGCCCATTGGCCACCCTACTACCTGTTATATCAGTAGTGATTAACCAAAACCAAACTGATTAGCACTCGTGGACATTTTTTTTTGTCAAAAGATAACATGTATTGATAAAAAATAGACAGTTACACCCTGGAAACCATCCAAGCCTGGAAGTCAAAGAAGCGACTCATAGCGGGTACAAAGAAAGGGCTTTCCTAGCTACCAAATGAGCTACCCAATTGTTCTCCCGACCAACAAAACGCACACTAAAACCCGGCTGGGTACGAAAATAATGATCAATCTCTTCCAGAACAGCACCCAACCGGCTATCTCTAGTGTTGGCTTGATTAATTTTATCAATGATCACCTTCGCATCGCCCTCAAACCAGACCTCCGACAAGCCTTGTTCCATACACCAAATAATAGCTTCTCTGAGCACAAGCAATTCTACCACGACAGGATCATCCATTTGGGAAAACTGAACCCCTCGAGCCAGAAGGAGTGTCCGCGCTGGGTCAAGAAGAATCATCCCACCCGCCGAATGCGACCCACCCTTAGTAGCCCCCATCCCACATGCAAACCAAATGAGAATCACCAAGAGGTGCTGTAGGTTGCATCATCGGGATCGTCACCCTAGGAGCCTGATCTACCCATTCTTCATACTGCTGGTTAAACTGCCGCATGAGCGTCGGGATCCCAAATTGCTTGCCTTCAAAGACTACCCAATTCCGATATCGCCAGATCCTCCAAAGGATAGCAACAACAACCATAACCACCGACGGTTGCTGAATCAGCCCCAACAGACGTTTGAGAAACAAAGGAAAAGTGTGCCAAGGCAGACCGTCCCCCAGGTAACCCAGCCCTGAATAGTCCCAAAGAGCCCGCGCAACCAGACAATAAAGGAACAGGTGTTCCATCGTTTCCGGACCATCCCAACAAACTGGACATCGAGGAAGCACCAGGACCTTTTTCTCAATAAGCGCCTCTGTGGTCGGAAGAGCTCGATTAAGAATTTGCCAAACAAAAACTTTCAACTTCGGAGGGATCTTCGCCTCCCACACTCTAATCCCCCGGGGCAAAATCCACGGATTATAGCATGGCGGATCAAGTTGGTACCTAGGAATCCAGTTAGAATGGAGTAGGGAGACCGATTGGCCATTACCAACCTGTCATCTTAACCCCATCTCCAATAACTGACGCCCATGAAGGATACTCTGCCACCCCCATGAGGGACGAGATCTAGCAGTCGCGGTCAGGAAAGATCCTTTAGGGAAATACTTGCCTTTATAAACCTGGGCAATAAGTGATTGAGGTTCATTGAGTATACGCCAACCTATCTTCGCCAGAAGAGCTTGATTGAAATGTTCAAATTGGCGAAACCCCATTCCCCCATTCCCCCATCATGCTTACTCCTGCACATGTTTCGCCAGGACACCCATCTAATCTTGGGACTACCCTCCTCATAACCCTACCAAAAGCGGGCCACATGTTTATCTAGAAGACGACAAAGGGCTAGGGGAAGACGGAAGCAGGACATAACATGAAGGGGAAGAGCCAACGCTATGGATTTAATCAAAGTTTCCTTCGCAGCCCACGATAATGTCCTTTGCTTCCACCCCTGAAGCCGCTCTAGGAGTTTCTCCTCCAAATATCTGAAAGTAGCCATTTTGGATCGAGCAACCAACGTGGGAAGCCCCAGATATTTATCATGGACCCCACACGCACCAACCCCTAGGATCGTGGCCAAGAATTTTTGATCAGGTGTGGAAATATTCTTGCTAAAACACACCGCCGATTTCTCCAAGTTAATGCGCTGGCCACTCAATTCCTCATATTCATTCAGCACTTCAATCAAATTCTCGCACTCTTGTAGGGAACCTCGCAAGAATAAGTAAGAATCATCCGCGGAAAACAGGTGCGAGACTCTTGGAGCCCTAGGATCTACTTTCACCCCCTCTAATTTTTTCTCCGTGATCGCTTTCCGAAGAAGGGCTGCAAACCCCTCAGTGCAGAGCACAAACAAGAGAGGAGAGAGCGGATCCCCCTGGCGAAGGCCCCTAGAGGTAGTGAAATAACCCGAGGGTTTACCATTCATCAGAACGGAGAAAGAGGAGGATCGAAAACATTCATGAATCCATCCTTGCCAGACTGAATTAAAACCCATCTTATCCAAAACTGCAAGAAGGAAGGGCCATTCGACTCTATCATAGGCCTTTTTCATGTCAACCTTCAGAGCCATGTACCCCCTTCTTCCCTTGCTTTTTTATTTTCAGATAATGCATTAGTTCATGTCCTAGGGATATTATCAATAATCACTCGTGGACAAAGTAGTTCTACGATATGGTGATTTTGGAACGACTAATGTTGTGCGGCTTGAAGACCCAAGTTATGAACCTCGACAGCTCAACTTTGCATCACCTTCTAGTAGCCGGTTCAAATTTTGCGCTCATTGTTGATCCCTTGAGCTCAAGTCCACAGTTGAGCAAACAAGCGAAGCCCGGCCCATTACCTTGGCCCAATCGACCAAGCAAACCGTGATAGTGCCGAGACGGCGAGACCTTTATAATCTAACACTACAGAAAAAAACTAGGGTTTTTGAGTCGCAGAGAAGGCTTCTGGCATTGGCATATACGAAGAGCCAGGCAGCCGCATCGTCGTCATTGCTCTGCAAAGCTCATAATCTCCTCCAACCATGGCTGTAGGGTACGTATACCCTCTCTTGACAACAAACCCTTTTTCCGTTCTGCCTTTCATTTCCGAGCTTTTATCTCCTTCGTCTGTCTGCTGACTTCTGTTATCTGTACATTTTTTTTTTTTTTGCAGTAAGAACAAGAGGATTTCCAAGGGAAAGAAGGGAGGCAAGAAGAAGGCGTGAGTATTTCTGTAACTTGAGAAGTTCCATTCTGATTTTTGTGTGTCAGTGTGTCTGGTTGAAGGTGTTTTCGTTTTGAATCCTTTATCACCGCAAAGAGTCCATTTTGACGCTCGATTGTAACAGAGCGGATCCGTTTTCCAAGAAGGATTGGTATGATATCAAAGCTCCTGCAATGTTCACCCACAAGAATGTCGGGAAGACTCTCGTCTCCCGCACTCAGGGTACCAAGGTACGCGAGCTTGATGCTTGGTTAGCCATGGATTCTTTTGAACATGTGAACTTTTAGGTTTCTCCTTTTGCTTTCTAGTTTGTTCACTGCTGGGGTGTTAGTCTGCTCCGATATAGATATTGAGGTAGTATTAGTGAGCTTGTAATGCCTTGTGCTAACACTCTAGCGACTACCATGGATTGTACCGGATAACTTTTCCCCTAGAATTGACTAGACATGGTTTCTCGCCTTTTCAAATGTATTCTTAATCTATGTTGTTTGTTTCCACTAGTGGCCATGGTAGTACATGAATTTTGCTGTTCGTTTCATTATCAGTCTAGTTTTGTATCGCTGATGTAGATGGTATTGTTATTGTGAATAGATTGCTTCAGAAGGGCTCAAGCACAGAGTGTTTGAGGTTTCCCTAGGTGACCTTCAAAATGATGAAGATCATGCCTTCAGGAAGATCCGGTTGAGGGCTGAGGATGTGCAGGGAAAGAATGTTCTGACTAATTTCTGGGTATGATAAATGTATTCTTTTCTGTTTGGATATTTTCTGCAGAATGAATCTTTCGTGTGGTATTTATTTATTGTGCACTCTGTTTTGCTTTTTCAGGGAATGGATTTCACCACAGACAAGCTGAGATCATTGGTCAGGAAATGGCAGACTTTAATAGAGTCTCATGTTGATGTGAAGACTACTGACAACTACACTTTGAGGTTGTTTTGCATTGCTTTCACTAAGAGGCGCCCAAATCAGGTCAAGAGAACCTGCTATGCCCAATCTAGCCAGATCAGACAGGTAAGATTTGCCATGCCAACTTTATAGGTTCTGGTGTAGTCTCGATTTTGGAAGAACTTAACTCGTTCTTACATAAGTTGGTTTGCTTTAGTAGTTAATATATACGTTACTGGGTTTATCTTTTTTGCAGATCCGAAGGAAGATGAGGGAAATTATGATTGCTCAAGCAGCATCTTGTGATCTTAAGGAGTTGGTTCAGAAGTTCATTCCTGAAGCCATCGGGAAAGAGATTGAGAAGGCAACCTCAGGAATCTATCCTCTGCAGAATGTCTTCATCAGGAAAGTGAAGATCTTGAAGGCACCAAAGTTCGATATCGGCAAATTGATGGAGGCATGTTTCTTCCACCCAATGCTCTCTGAAGCTCTCGTATATTTAGGAGTGGTTTTCCCCAGATTCTAAATCTTAGTTCGTTTCTATATTCAGGTCCATGGTGATTACTCTGAAGATGTTGGTGTGAAGGTAGAAAGACCTGCAGTTGATGAAACAATGGCTGAAGCCCCACCAGCTGCTGAACCTGTTGCTGCTTAAGGAGATAGATTGAATGAACTTCCCCTACGGCCTCTTCTTTCCTGTTCCCCCTAGTCATTGCCAGATTAATCTTGGTTGGAACAATGGTTGTCAGTATTTTGCTAGGAAAGATGTTTTTGGTCTGATTAGTTTGTGATTTTAATTAAATGGAAGAGCTTTATATACAGTTTTGTCTAAGTAATGAAATCTGTTGTTTAATCATTAATTTGGATTCTTATAAGAACATCCGCATTGTTATACATTCTCAATTGCAATGGAATGATTGTTTGCAATTATTGCAAAACCAATTGCATTATTTGTAAGTTAAGTTTGCAATTCTATGTGCAAATCAAAAAGTAAAAATGGAGATTTTTAATTATATATTTTTTTCTCTTCTTAATTTTTTATAAATTTACATAATATTCAATTACATATGCAATTATATTGCAATTGCATTGATGTAAGTGAATGAAATGTGATGTGGATTGCAATAAATTTAAGTTGACATTAAAGAACACATGCATGCTTTGATGTGGATACTCTAAGCTTTCATTTTTTGTTTTGGTTTTCGTTTCGCTGCAAAAAGGTCGTTGATGGTTATACGACAGTATATGTCTCAACTAACTAAGGGAGTTGCGACTCAGAACAAAGTGACCAACTCCGATGAATAGTCAGTCTCCTTCCTGTCTTCATGCCTCTTCAATGGCGGCCGGTCTCCAACAACCACAGAAACACCCCTTCTTCCTTCTCCTCAAACTCCTCCGTTTCCCAGCACTGCTGATAAAATCCCACAATAGAACACCCGTCTTACTCCCATACAACATATGCTGCACATTACTCTTCTTCTTCGTCTCCCCACTCTTCTCATCAAGCTTCAGCAGAACGTACTGAATGTTCTGCACTTCGAACTCCAAGCTCCCAATCTTCTCCGAACACTTCCTCGCCTGCTCCGTCACCCCGTTGCTCTGCGCTTTAACCATCATCTCTTCAGGAGACGACACGACGCCGCCACAGACGTCCTTCCTCAGCTGGTCGTTAGCCTCTGCTAGCTGCACAATTGCCTCTTCCACTTCCTGCAGCCGCGTCTTCAGCTTCTCCATTTCCACCACGTCGTTCCCTTTACTACTCTCCACCTTGGTTTTCATGTCTTGCACGGATGTGTAGAGAGACGTCAGTTTCTTGTCGTTAGAATTAAGCCTCTCCATGATCTTGCCTCCATGGGGGGGATCTCTTCTTGTCTTTGATTGGTACTACCACCTCCTGCTTTACATCATCAATTCCTAATTCCTTCTCGGAGGAAGGAATGGAGGGAGGAGCCTTGTGCTGCTTCGAACGTCTAGATGATGGATTTCGACTCAATGACAGAGTGGTGGTGTTGGTGTTGATGGGCCTCCTCCATTGTTGTTTCCGACATTATCTTTCTCGGTGAATTCCCAGAGCTCGAGCATTTGATCGTCGGCTCTTGAGACTTTCCTGATCCTTCTGCACAAAGAGGAAGAACTATCGAGTTAAATGTCTTTCATCAAAACCCCTACATTGCTGCTGCTACTGGGATTGCTCTTTACTTCCGGTGGTGATGGTGCTATCTCAGGTTGTTGGTCGAGGTGGTGCTTATTGTTCGGAAACTTGTTGTTATAAAAACTGTCAGTTGAATCATTATTATTGAAGCCGTCTCCCCTGCTTCTTGATGACCTCCTTCTTGGCCTCTCATTTTCTCATGGGTTTGAAGCTTCTCCTTCTCAGCTTCAAGCCTGCTCATCTCTTCAAGCATGACTTTCTCCACTGTTTTAACTCTTGGTAGCATCTCCAGCAAATCAGAGATCCCATCTCTTGCATCACTTGGCTGATCTTCAGAAGCTATGTCAATATCCTGATCACAAAAGAATGAGGCAATGTCAAGATTCTAATGCACCTTCAAATGTTATATTATGGAAAGGAAAAGTGAATGATGATTGATACCTTTTGAGTTTGATCACAAGCTGTAGAAGAAGGAAGCTTTGTCAGAAGGAGATCATTTTGCTCGAGGGATTCGATGTTGTCTTTCAAGGAAGCTATTGTTGGAGCATATGCAGATATCTGAGATTTAAGCTCCACTACTTTAGTTTCAAAAGAAACAAACTTTTCCTTCATCTGTCCAATCTCAGCATCTTTTGTGGCATTGTCATCTTCAAGGGTTGAACAAAACGCAGAAAGCTCATTAACCTTCTTCTCAAGAAGAACCTCGTGAATGGAGGATACTTGGAGGTCGAAGAAGAATGATGAAGCTTTGGCCTCCCAGATTTTGGACTCGTTGCTTCTCTCCAGTTACTCCAAACTCAAGGTCTCTTCTCTAACCCTATGATCTTCAATCTCCTTTTGTAAAGTGCTAGCTTCTGACTCCAGGTTCTGTTTTACTGCATGAAGCTGTTGGATTTCTTGTTTCTAGTTTGCGTTGTCTTTGGACAATTCAGCAATATGGTTTTCTATTTTTTCCTTGATTGTAGTGGATTCCTTAGATTCCATCTCCAGTTCCTCAATTGTTCTGCACAGTTCACCATTGGACTCCTCAGTAGCCTTCAGCTTTGCTCTACTTTTAAAAGCTCTGGTGCTTTCATTCCCAAAAAGTCATTGGCAATAAAAAATTGGTTTAATACACGTGTATATCCAAAACTTTTACGATTGTGCCAATAATATCCAAATTTTCCGAAATACCACTTATATCCATGTTTTAAAGTTGTTCTTTGCCAAATCTATCCATTTGCCAATATATTTTTGCTTAAATACACTTGTATATCCAAACACACCGTTAAAGAATGTGAAGGAATTGGATATAAGTGGTATTTCGGGAAATTTGGATATTATTGGCACAACCGTGAAAGTTTTGGATATACAAATGTATTTAACCTAAAAAATTCACAGTTCAACTGATCATTTAAGTTCTGGCCTTCCTGCAGCTCCAACTGCAACTTCTTGATTGTTTTGGTTAGATACAAACACTCGGATTCTTTTGCTCCAAGCATATTCTCCAACTCTTCTATCTTCTTGTTGAGTCCAGTGTTAACAGAGCTGAGATGACTGAGTTCTCCAGAAACTGCTTCAAGCTCCTCGGCTTTCTGCAACCCGAAGCTCTCATAAGCAGATGAGAGAGTTGCCAAAGATACTACTTCCTGGATAATGTTGCAGTTTTCTTCTTCAACCTTATTAATTTCCCTTTTCATATCTAAGAATCTCTGTTTCATAGATTCATTTTCTTCAAGCATGTTTAAGTTTTCGGCTTGCAGTGAGATGTAAGAAACTTGCAAGGTTTCCAGATTCAAATGTTGAGTTTCTAACTCAGCTTTCAGTTTTCCCTTCCGCACCTCTCCTTTCCTCAGTTCCATTTCCATTTGCTTGCTCATCGCCTGAAGTTCATGGCTTTCCATCTCAACAACAATGAACTTTTCCTTCATTGCCTTATACTCCGTCTCTATAACTTCTTTCTCTGACTCAAGTTCTACACTTTCAGATCTCAATTGCTCAAACAAAGTTGAGAGCACCAGGTTCTCTACTGCCATTAACTGCTTCTCGTCATCCTCTCTTTGGAGCAAGCTCTTCATGTCCTTGATATTGTCTAACATCCGCCCAAAAGAAAGTTTTCCTTCATCAATTCCTTGTCATGATCATGGATTGGATCAAACTGAAGTGACTAAAAAACTTGATGAACTCCCATTCTATACTTCTCAATTTCATCCAACAGGAATTCCACTTCCACATGCTGCTCCAGATTCTCTGCCTCCAATACTGATATCACTTTGTTTGATAATTTTGAAGCCCCAGCCTGCTTCTGACATTCAATCAACAGTGTGAAATTCTTCTGTTCCAAATCTTCGATGAACTTCTGTAAGATGAAGATCTCGACCTATGCATTTACTGCTTTATCTAGTTCCTCTTCAAATTCCTTCTTCCTTAGCTGACTTTGTTCTTGCAATGTATGGACCTGATTTTGCAGATCAGCCAACCGCGATTCACTCGACTGTATATAGCATGCACGCTCCTGTTTCTCCATTCCAAGGTATCCATACAGTTCTTTGACTTGGAAAAGTGTGAATTCTTTCTCCTTTTCCAGATTAGTGTACTTCTCTTCCAGTCTTGTAACCTCCTCTCAAGGTTTCTATGTCTTCGTTCAACATCTTCCAGTTGAGAGACCAATGTACTTTTTTCAGTCAAAAGTTTGGATTTTTCGTTCTTGAGCATTTCACACAGTTCTTCTAAGCTTCTGCTCCTTGTCTTGAAACCCTATAGCTCGATATTGGCACCAGAGAGAGAATTCTCAACCAGGGTATTTTTGTCAATGAGTTTCTGCATGTGCTCATTCATGAGCTGTAGCTGAGAGAGCAAGATTCCCTTATCAGCTACAAGTCCCGTTTTTTCTCCCTGAAGGACCTGGCAGGATTGCTGCAACTCCTCCACCTTTTCTCTTGAACCTTCAAGTTTATAATTCATTTATGAAAGAGATCTCTCCATGGCAACATTCATCTCAAGGAGATGATTTGTAGCCTTCAGTTTCTCGTGCAGAACTTCCTTCTCACTTTCATCCTTTCCGTGAACTTCTTTTAGCCTCGATTTTTCATCTTGCAAGTGTTTAACAGAGGAGCCTTCAGTTTCACCGACAGACCACACCTGCTCCATTAAACCCGGATACCTGCTATTCAAGGCATCAATCTCTCCCCTCAAACAAGAAATCTTCTGTTGCAGGGAATCAGTTTGACTTACTTGATCTATAAGTTTCACTTCAAGCTTCACCTTCACTTCCTTGAGGCAAGAAATTTCGTTATGGAAGTTCTTTATGGAAAGGCTGGAAGAACCGTTTAACTCGTTGAGGCTCTGATTTTCATCCTTGGCTCGGTGCAAAACTTCTTGCAATTCCTGGTTGCTCAACTCCAAATCTTTCAACATTTGAAGCTTGTTTTCCAGCTCTAGTGCCAAGGCTTTCTGCTCTTCTTGTGACTGTGAGTGCAACTTTTGCAAAGTTTGCAAGCTGGCTTGAACCTGGGCAAACTGTGAGTTCTCCTCTTCCAGTAAAGTATGAAGCTTGTCCAGTTCAATTTCCTTGGTCGAGAGTTCTTGATCCTTTATTGCTATCCTTTGGACCAAATTTTCAGCCTCTAACTGCATAGACTGATTTGACTTCTCCAACAGAAAACAATGTTCTTCTGCACCTTTAAGTTTTGCAGCACCCATCACCACTTCACTGTTCAGTCGCTTAACATCCTCTTGTGCTCGAGATATTTCATTCTCCATCATGGCTATTTTCTCAAGGCACTGCTCATATCTTAGCTCAACAACTTCTTTCTCTTTCTTCAGTTCATCAACAGCTTGCCTCGGTGAATTAACTTCAGTTTCAGCTTTCTCAGCTTGCTCGTTAAGCATCCTGGCATTTTCCCCAGCTAGTGAAATTCTTTTCTCCAGGAGAGATATCAATTCAAGACATTGGTTGTACTGCAAAAGACGAGCTTCCTTCTCGGACTCCAATCCAGAAAGCTCTCATTTAAGTCTCCATGCTTCTGTTTTGGCTTTCATTGCCCGGTCATTGAGCCCCTTAGCGTGCTCCTGAGTCTGAGATATCATATTCTCCATGCTTGATATGTTTCCTAAGCACTGGTTATACTGAAGCAGCCCGACATCTCTCTCAGCTTCTAACTTGGCAAGTGTTTCCTTCAGGATCTTAATCTCTATTTCATCTCTGCTTGCTCTTTCATCAAGCCCACCGGAATCCTTAAGTTCCTTCTCCAAGCAAGATAGCTTCTCCAAGCTTTGTTGGTACTGAAGAAGAACAACTTCCTTCTCGGCTTGTATCTCACCAAGAGTCTTCTTCAAAGTCTCAACGTCTTGCTCTGATTCAGCTTGCTTGTGTAACTTTGAAGCCCTCTTCTTCATCTTTCCTCCTGTAACATTTGATTCAGCCCCAAACATCATGTTCAGCTGTTTGAGACCTCCATTATCTGTAATGGTTGAAGAGAGTTCCAAGTCATCTGGGCTTAACAAATCCTGAATTCGATGAGGCATTTCCGGTATGTGAGGTTCATCCTCCTGTCTAGAAGGTGAATAATCAGTCAATGCATGAGGAACCTGATCGGGGAATGCTTCAGCCATGGTTCGATGAGCATGGCGAAGTTCTACCGTTGCATGATTGTATCTCTCTGCTAATGCTCGGTAAGCTCTATCTCCTCCACAACCTTCATAAGTTCTGGACGTTTTTTGTAGTACATTTCTGCCCTCCTAGCAAATGAATCTGCATCTTCCTCTATCAGTTTGATCATCGCTTCCACCTTTGCATCCATATTTGTTACACCAGTGTCAAACTTCGTCAATATTGGAGTAATTCATTTCAACAATCACATTAAAAGAGGCAACAATATGTATCATGTTCCATAAAGCAAAATTTGGCAACTGCCTAGTGTACACAAGACGAAGGCTACATGATTGTTTGTTCATCTAACTTTGGGTTCCTACTTTTGCTAAGCATATGATCATGAATCACTTTGCTTCCAACAAAAGAGGCTCACTAAACTGAAATATGGAGCAAAGCATGAACTATGGAGTGGAACTACTTGAAAAAAGAGTAAGTCACAACTCACAAGAGATCTAAAGGGAAATGAGTAAAGCAAGCACCTGTGAGATTGTCCCGAATCCATTTGGAATTCTTGGGGAAGTGACTGTTCCACCACAAAGAATAGAGCCTCCTGGACTCCGAATGCATTAGGGTAGCCATGAGTCCACCACAAACAAAAGGGCAAGTGGCTTGGACCTTGCAACAGACTGGTTTTTGTACCAGAAGTACAGGCTACAGTAGTGGATCCAGGCCATAGTAACCAATGTAGATCTGTTAAACCACTCCCTCTATTAAGTAAGGATTTTACGAAATTCCTGTTTCTCAGTCTTTCTTACTGTTCCTGTACGCAGAAAGAATCATCTGAGTTAGAGCAGCAACAAGTAGAATCACAATTTCATAGGTTTCTGGAGTCGCAAACTCTTGATTATACCTTCAGAAGTAAAGGTGGAGCAAGTCTGTATCAAAATGGAACTCCCCCAAAAAAATCCAGTAAATTAGCTGAACCAAAGTTGGATCTTCAATTTAGTAACACTGTAAAGAGAAGCCAGAGAAGAAAAATAGGTAACATGTCAGAAACACATTTATTTAGGGTTTCTGTTATTATATTAGGTAGGATAATCATAATTATGGTTAGTAGAGATTTAATCGGATTAGGATTATCATTAGGGTTTTCCAGTATTTTCCTATAAATATGTACTTTGGGTTTACGTCATAATCAATCAAGAACAAATTAAGAAGAATCTCTCCTAAACCCTAATCTCTCTTCTCAACTCCTAATTTCTATTCTCTCATAATCCAAGGCCTCGGCCGATTCCCAATTTTATTCTGTTCTTTTCATCTAAATCCCTAATCTCAACCCTAAATTCCAATCTCACGGGTGTCGAAGATCAGTATCGAGAATCCCTAGAAGCGGGGTTCTCACTATTGGTATCAAAGCCTGGTTGCATGCACCCGTACCGAACCATGTCGAGATTCAAAGTTCCCTCAATCAAAGAACTCACCATGGTTCTTAGAATGAAGTTGGAGGCTGCGAGAGTGGAGATGAGTCCAATCCCACCTCCAACCGCAGCCGTAATCGAACCGTTGGTCGCAGAAACAGTTTTTGAAGAGTGGTTGGAACAACCGGCGTTCCCAATCTAGTCCGAGCAAGGGGAAACCACCGCTGCTGTTAAAGCCGAGAAAGAAGTTGCTGCAGCAGCTGCTGCGACGACACCACCACCACCATCGCAACCCGTTACCCTACCCGTCGAAGCCATAGCCGAGATCTCCGAACCACCGCAACCGTGGATAGAAGCGCCATCATTGCTGCCCAAAATCATAGAGGCGGTCAGGACTACCACCGCTATGGAAGTTGCTGCCGGATCGCTCCAGAAAAAGGAAGAGGCGAGTAGTAGAGGCGCGCCATGCCCAGGAATCAAGTCAGCGAGCCACGATTCTGTATGGAAACAAGCTTTCCCTTATCCTATGAAAGTTTGTGGAAAGATAACGAATTTGGCAGAACCATTGGTTTTGCTAAAATAATGCTCCACAAGCTGGAAGTTTAGAAGAAGGCAGGAGGTTGGTCCATGGGTAATTGACTGGGGAATTGGAGGTTGTTATGTGGAAGAACCAAGAGATCGCGAGAAGCCAAAGCTACGTCAAGAGGATTTGGGTATTGACGATGGCGCTACCATGGCCGGATCTTCAGTCATCACTGGCGCAACGTATGGGACGGGAGGTGCGCCACCAATCTCGTCGACGGACAAGATTCAGCCTGCCGTAAGCGGGGAGGAGATGATGATGAACCGGCGGGCTAAGTTGCCAGCCTCGCAATCCGCGACACCTACACCGCAACCACCACCCGCTCGAGCCGTGGTGACGACGACAGGAATGATGGAGATTAATCCGCTCGGGATGACGTGGGAAGGGAAGATGGAGCAAAGGGACGGCGCGGCGCCGCGGATGGCAAAGGTGGACGACTGTGAAGTCTCGCCGAGGATGGGAATCGCGTTGGGATCGCAGCGACCCTCGGCGGTTTTCTCCGTAGCGATGACGGGCAGGAGAGCGGAGACGAGAGCTCTCGTCGTGGTGAAGATCAACGCGCCTCAGATGACGGAGGCAGAGGATGAGTCGGCAGAGGAGAATTTAGTGACCGAGCTGCCAAGGCCAATCACAAAGGCGAGTGAGAGGCCGGAAGAGAAGAAGTTACCGCGAAAGGAGAGCTGCACCGACGAAATTCGGCGATGCAAAGCAAAGCAGGCTCATCGGGTATTCTCGCATTCGTGGGGAACTCCTGGTCTCTGAGTGAGCGAAGCGCCGACGGGGAAGGAGACGAAGATTTGGTAAACGGCGGAGCGTAGCGACGACTTGGATGGATGCGAAGCAAGGCCGTAACGAGTTTGCCGGGATTCTTCGATGGCCGACGTGGAAGTAAAGTTGAAAAAGCGGCTAAGAGCGCGCTAGTCGGATGGGCGGCGCGCCACCGGGGAACGAAGAACCAAGGAATGGAGTAACGGAGATGGCGCCGCCAGCAAGGAAAAAGATGAAGGAGGAGCTATCGGCAGACGAGGAGAAGTGGGATGGCGGCGATTCTCGTCCTCAAGCAACCCTAGGTCGCGCCACCAAGCGGCCAGAAGAATTAGGCCGAGCCACGGTTCGGATCGTTGGGTTGTTGTCGGGCCGAAGTGACGGGCTAGCTTTTGGGCCGAGAAGTGTGGGATGCGGAGAGCAACTGCAGCTGGTCCATTTGGCCAGAGATTAAAACCGGATGGGCCAAGCAAGAGCTCTTTTATGGGCTCCCGTTGGGCCAAGTAAGTCTGCATGGAGAAGTTGAGCCCAACAGGAGTTATGTTTTGAAGAAGGCAAGTTTGGAGGAAGTTCTTATGTGGGCAGATGGGCTTACAAGAGATCCAAGACCAAATGAAATTAAGAAGAACACAAAGAGACTTGACAATGACTTGGGTCACATGTCTCTCTTTCATGCCATTGTGGGCCAAGTTCAGGGTAAAGGAGGAGAAAGTTGGGTTGTTTTTCCCGCCAAGTCCATGGAGGAATTTATGTAGTATTTCTTTGAAGACCTCAAGCTAGAGCACAAGGAATAACGATTCTCCAATTCTTACTTTGTGAATTTCGAAAAGGAAGAAAAAGAATTGTTCGACTATGGAGAACGTGACATATGTCACGTGGGTGGAGAAGAGTTCATTCAAGGGATCAAGCACAATTGGAAACGAAGAAAGCGGAAGGTCAAGGAGGTAGAAGTCAACTACAACCTTGAGGTCAATGTTGTTTTCAAGGGGGATGGATTGTCAGAAACACATTTATTTAGGGTTTCTCTAATTATATTAGGTAGGATAATTATAATTATGGTTAGTAGAGATTTAGTCGGATTAGGATTATCATTAGGGTTTCCAGTATTTCCCTACAAATATGTACTTTGGGTTTACGTCATAATCAATCAAGAACAATATTAAGAAGAATCTCTCCTAAACCCTAATCTCTCTTCTCAATTCCTAATTTCTATTCTCTCCTAATCCAAGGCCCCTACCGATTCCCAATTTTCAATGTTCTTCTCATCTAAATACCTAATCTCAACCCTAAATCCCAATCTCACGGGTGTCGAAGATCAATATCGAGAATCCCTAGAAGCGGGTTCCCACATATCAGTTATCAGAAGATGAATGTGCAGCAGAGGGGAAAGAGATATTAAACAGAAAGAACAGGTCATAGTGAAATTTCAGATGGAAAACACCAGGAGTGCAAAGTTAAAACAACCTAAGTTCTCATGGATCAAATCAAAGGAACAACTTTTGAAACAAAATCCACATTTCAAGCATTCAAAGAGAACGGGAACACACACAAAAAACTTAAACAACAAAAAAGATAACAGAACCAACACGACAAGGCGGAGGAAGAACAAGAACATGGAAATACCCCTAAAATGAGAAGACAAAAACCATGGCTTGTCTAGCTCCGCCATTGACCCACAAAACAAAATGGGGGTTCCAGCAAATGGGTATGAAGAAAAACTGAGAAAGATCAAAATTTTAAGGCCATTTCAGACAAAGAATTAACCCAAAAAGAGAAGGGAAAAACCCAGAAAACTGAGGGGCTTGTCGTTTAAGAGCAGCAGTTGCAAACACTTGAAAGATAGGTCTCCCCCAGCTGCATCACCTTCCGAGTCAACCCATGGTCTTCTTCTCTTTAGCTTGACTCAGTACTAGTGACCAACAGAGACTTCCATTCTCTCTCTCTCCAATGTACAGCGTCATCCCTCTCCCTCCCACATTATAGTGTAGTCTACAATTGGTACAGAGATAGACGAAGTCAGTATGAAACTGTAAAAAGTTGGGAAGAGAAGAAAGAGAAGTTTGGTTCCTTTCGCATTTTTGGTAAAGGGTTGGAATTTTTTTTTGTGAGATTTTGATTGGAAGATAGGTACATGACACCATGTAAACAGTAATGGCGTGCACTTGTATATTGTTAGAAGGTGTTTTTTTTGGTGTGATGTTAGAAGCTTTTATATTAGGAAAACCTAATCTCTCGTAATTAATGAATGTATTTCCTGTTGTAGTTATCATTTGGTTCCTGGGGAACGGTCAATTCCTTTCAAAATTGACGAAATTTAGTGTATTCTTTAATTTTACCGTTTATCATTCTTTTCATTTTTTGCATAATTTCATATTTCACCTAATTAACCACAATCAATGGTAAATTGCTGGACTTCAAATTGGAATGATTCGTTAAAGGAAACATTATTTAATAATTACAATGAGCAACGTGGCAACTATTTTTCTTCATGATTTCATGGCCTAGAAAGTTAAGTTCTTGATTTCTTATTAGATTTTTGGAAAATGTTGTTGACTTCTTGTGTCCAATGTGTAAAAAATTAGGGTACATTACCCTGAAAAAGTGGTTTCTCTTTGACTCTAATCCATTAAAAAAATGGCATAACTAATTTTTTGCTTTATAAATTGTTTTTCCTAGAATATCCTTTCAACTAGAACCCCAGTTGGCTCCCAATTTGCAATCTTATATTTTCCTTTGGTGAGGTGTATTTATTTGGAATAGAACGTGTCTCCTTTTCTTTCATTGTTTTAGTACAATTCTATCTTTATCAAATATATGAAACCAAACTAATGTTGTTGTGAACAAACCAAATTAAAAAACATGAAAATTGTTAGTATGTAACTAATTGTATGGTCTTGTTTTCTCTCCCCTACAAAGTTCTTAAACTTGTAGTCTTCCATTGAGGCCTGGCCATGGCGATTTCCTCTAAGGGAGTGGGTGAAGTTGGTATTAGGAAAAGCTTCATGAGAAGGATGAGGTAATATTTGTGCGGGCACAGATCAGGGTAAGTTGACTAATTCTTATATATTGTTTGAATAAAATGTTTATTTTTAACAATAAGCAACAAGAAAATAGTTCATAAATGAAAAACAAGGATAATAGATAACCCGATTGATTCCAATTAGTTGAAAGATGAAGTCTTGCACATATCTAAACTATCATTTGATGAAATATTATTTCAGATATATTCATAAAAAAAGAAATATTATTTCAGATAAGTCAAATTGTAAGAAGTACAAATAGATAATGAGACAAATCAAGGTATAACGGGTCAAGAAAGAGGACGGGTACAAGGAAAGTAATGCCCATGTGGGTCGGATCAGATAATAATCGATGAAGTAAGTTCAAAGTGCCATCACTAGCGGTTAAACGCACCAACAAGATAGTGATACAAATAAATAATCAATCTCAACTCCACCAAATTCTTAGTTTGAAACCTTGTTCATGAATATAGACTCAAGGGGGATCACCATCCAATCAACGAAGAATTTGGAGAATGTCATTGGCGACACTCGAATTTGCCAGCTGATTGAGTTTGAGTGGCAGTGGCTAGGTCGATAACAACAAATTTCCTAACCCATCCATCCGAACTAAACTAAAAGCTTTTTAGCTTGGTTGACTGAATGGTGATTAGTTTGGGATAAGCTAAGAGTTGAATATGTGGGGTATTACATTTATTCGGTTCTTGATTTGTGTTTAGTCACTGTTAGGTTATTGATTATCAATAAAAGTTGAGTTTATCATAATAGTCTATAATATCGTTGGGATATGGATGTAAAGCTTTAATTGATCGAACACATTAAATTTGCATGTCATTTCTCATCTCTCTTTTATCTTCGGCATTGCTCATGTTCTCTCAAAGGGTCCATTGTTCCTATTCTTACATCCTAGCTTAGATTGATAAAGGGACAATTAATCAATTTCTCAAATCTTGTTGGAAGATTAACCATAAGCTACCGTCGAACTTTTTTTTTTACCAGAACGACAGTTTGCATTAAACAAGAAAAGATAGTTACGTCAACCCTGACTCCCTAAAAAGCCAAACACAAAAATCAAACCCAGAACAACGATTGGGAAACAAAGAAAGGGCCTTCTTAGCCACTAGATGGGCTGCCCTATTGCTATCCCTTCTCACAAACCGAAATTGAAGATTCAGAGAAGCCAACCACCGCCATCGAATCTTCGCAAAAAGCATCCCTCCACGAACATCATCCACCACCCCTACATTAATTTTATCAAACACAACCTTGGTATCACCTTCAAATGTAACTGCATCACGCCCCATGGCCAGGCACCAATCAACTGCCCCACGTAGCGCCCGAAGTTCGGCCACCCCCGGGTCATCTTCTCCATCAAACAGAACCCCCTTGCCAGAACAACCATCCCTGATGCATCTCGTAAAACCATGCCAGCTGCTGCGTGAGACCTAACACACACTGCTGCATCAACCGAGCAAACCAACCATGGCGCCACCCCTTCACCGGGATCCCCTAGTGACTCCACCCCCTATCCCTCACGATTCCACTCTCTTCTTCCTCGACAGTACCTTGGGACTCCCATTCTGCCACCTGCGCTTGGAACTATCTACTCAACGCCCCAAAAGACATTTGGACACCCTCAAATGTTGACAAATTCCTGCTCTTCCATATCCTCCAAAGCAAACAAACAATGCAAAAGACACGTCCCGGAGAATCATCCCGTGCAAATAGCCGTCTAAGAAAAAATAGCTAGGTTTAGCTTGGGGATACTATCAACACCCTTATCTAAACAAGCCGAATCCCACAACGCCATCACAACCGAGCATTCTAAGAATAAATGTTCCAGCGTCTCCTCCTCAGCCCAGCCGACCGGGCAACGAGCAAACACCGGAATATCCCGACTCCAAAGACCCTCCATGGTAGGGACGATTCGATTCAGCTCTTGCCAAAGAACAAATCGCAGCTTTGGTTGTACGGGAAATGCCCAAACTTTCCGCCAGAATTCCATAGCCATGGGAGACGCCTCAGACTTCCCTCGAGAGCACAAGCGATCCAACCTATTGGCCAGACGATAGCCCGACTTCATCGAGTAAACCCCATCAGGTTCATGGAACCAAACTATTTTACCCCCATCAGAATCTTAGGTAACGGGATTGCGCGGATCGCACGACTGGTCCTCGCAGAAAAATTTACCTGAAGACACCCGTCACACCAATCCTCCTATTCTGGGTCAATCAGCTCGAATACAAGAGCCTCCCCCAGTGGGGCCACCCCAGAAATCAATTCGCGTGCCTCCAGATGAATACGACGAATCCATTGAGTTGATCTTATTTGAACCGACTCCCTATTACCAACCTGCCAGGAAAGCCCCGCCCGCAACAGAGAGCAGCCATGTAGCACACACTCCTCCAGATCCAAGAAGGTCGCGAACCTGGTTTAGCAATGAGCAACAACCCATTATGGAAATACTTTCTCCTATATATCCGAGCTAACAGAGACTCCAGCTCCATCAGGATCCGCCATGCCACTTTTGCCAACAAAGCTAGGTTGAAGAGCTCAAAGCGACAAAACCCAAGCCCACCCTCATGTTTACTCCGGCAGAGCCACCGCCAAGACATCCATCGCATATTGGATTTACCTACCGAATAAATCCACCAAAACCGGGCCATGTGCTTGTCAAGTCTCCAACATAACGTCACTGGGAGCTTAAAACATGACATTACATGGACTAGCAATGCCGAGGCCACCGATTTAAGAAGGGTCTCTTTCCCTGCCCACGACAGATGCCGAAGCTTCCAACCCTTTAGTCGGTTAAGCCGCGCCTCCTCCATGTACCAAAAAGCATCCGCTTTTGATCTCGCGATAAGCGTTGGCAACCCCAGATATTTATCCTGCACACCAATGACCCCGACCCCCAATCTCTCCGCCATCGCTCAAGCCTCCTCCGTATCTATATTCTGACTAAAGCACACCGTTGATTTGTGCAAATTCACCTTTTGACCAATGAGCTTTTCGTATTCCCTCAAAACTGCAAGAAGGGCAGAGCACTCTCTATGCGATCCTCGCAGGAACAAGAAGGAGTCATTAGCGAAGAAAAGATGAGACACACGAGGCGCATTGGGATTCAACCTAACCCCATGCAGTCGTTTGTTCGCGATGCCCTGCCGGAAAAGAGCCGCCAGACCCTCCGTACAAAGTACAAAGAGTAATGGTGACAACGGATCTCCCAGACGCAGTCCCCTCGTTGGTTTGAATTATCCATGAGGTTTACCATTCATCATAACCGAGAATGACGGAGTCGAAATACACTCCTCGATCCACTTGATCCATGTCTTTCCAAAACCCAATTTTTTGAAGACCGCTAGTAAGAAAGTCCATTCAACCCTGTCATAGGCCTTTTCCATATCAACCTTTAGGGCCATATACAATTTCTTACCCTTGGTCTTGATATTAAGGTAGTGCATAATTTCGTGTCCAATAAGAATATTATCGATGATCTAAACGACCTTTAGTGAATGTGTTCTGTTCTAGAGAGACAATCCGCGGTAACATGACTGCCATTCGATTCGCCATAATCTTCAAGATAATCTTATAGACAAACTAACACAACTAATCGGCCTTAATTGCCTCATGTTCTCCACCATATCCACTTTCGGGATCAAGGTGAGCCATGTATGGTTGAAGCTCCATAAGATACGCCCATTCCGGAAGAATGCACGTACAGCCGCAACCACCGATTCACCCACAATCCCCCAAAAGGATTTGAAGAACTTTCCGTAAAATCCATCAGCCCCCGGATCCTGCGTAGCCCATAGCAAAGACCGTACGTCGAATCTCATCTTCCGACACCACCGCCGTAAGCTCCTTATTCATTTCGGCCGTCACAAACCTCTCCAATGGCAACTGCTCAACACGCTGCTCAACACCCATCATCTTTCTGTAGCCGCTCCAAAAAGTTCTTTTTTACGTCTGGCCCTCGTCACCGCGTGAAAGTATGAGGAGTTACAGTCCCCTTTTTTTAGCCACCAAACCCTTGATTTCTGATGCCAAAACAACTCCTCCTCCGCCCATTTGCGCATCAGATCAGCCTCCAATACATTGATTCGATCCTAATCCGTCGGCATTTCCTCTTTCAAAGCCTCAATTTCAGATTGGAGAATCCTAACCTGACGGGCCGCATTCGACGTCCCTGCCTTGTTCCATTGCACCAAATGATGTCTTAACTTCTTTAAACGACACCAGAGTTGGTACATGGCACCTTGCACATTCTCTGCCCAAATTTCTTCAACCATCGGGCAGACCTCTGGATTTGACGCCCATCGAGCATCAAATCTAAAGATAAAATTCCGATCTTTAGTAAATGGACGATCCGCAATAATTAGCTCATAGTGATCGGATCCTAGGTCCGTCCCATGCTCCACAACCGTATCCGGGAATTGCTCCATCCAAGTCACCGACCCTAGAGCACGGTCGAGTAGTCTCTAGATAGAGGCCATCCCCATACGGCGATTAGACCACGTGTACGGATTCCCATGAAACCCCAGGTCCTTAATGCCCAAAACATCAATAAATCGACGAAACTCGATGGCTTGCGACGGGTTCCACGCATTACCGCCCAATTTTTCTTCCGACGAAAGAATGACATTGAATTCACCAACCACTATAAAGGGATGCATCAGACCAGAGCAATACTCCCGCAATAAATCCAGTTGCGCGGCTCGAGTAGATGCAACACAACTCAAGTAAACAAACACGACACCATACTGCATATCATTATTCGACACCAAAAAAGAAATAAAGAAAGAACAACTGAAAAGAACCGACATAGGCACTCCTACTCCCCACCCACTGCTAATCCTCCTGATGAATCAACCGCTTCAACAAGAAAAAAATATGAAAAACCTAGCCCCTAAGACGACGGGTGACGACTCTACGACGCGATCTAGTTTCTGAAAAAAATACAATATCATGATTATTAGCCCGGACAACCCCTAAAATATATTGGGACGTTAGAGAAGGCTCAATTTCCCGAACGTTCCACGCCACCAGTCTCATTTGGCCAACTGGGGCCACTCTCGGCTGGCTACCTCCACCGTCTCTGCAGTCATATCAACACCACCTTCCTCGACTGGTGAAGGGCAGATTTTCTTCAAAGGCGCTGGATTCTTCTCCAGTGACTCGAGTTCTTCCGCCACCCGGTTCTTGTCCATTCCCTCCTCTGGTTCGGTAGCCTCATCTGGAATAAGACTTTTCGAACACCCTCCTCCGCAATCAGCATTGATTTGACTCCCTTTGTATCCTCCTTGACCTGGACCTCAACGTCCATATTGTTTTGTGCCTCAAGTTTGGACACGATGTCCTTCACAGTCGCACCCTTATGATCTCCACCCACTATTTGTTTTGAGCTCCCTGGCCTCCCCTTGATTTTCTTCCCCTCCAAAGAACCCTTCTCAGCCTGCTCAGCCTTCTCCTTTCCCTTCTACCTCTCACTCTCCTTCTCCCCACCAGCACCAGATGTGCCCCTAGACGGATGATCATCATTGGCCCCTCTCGTAGCACCCGATTCGGTACCTCTACCATCAGTCTTCTTGTTGTGCTCACACCAGTCTTTCCCATCGTCCCCTACATCCTCCTCCCAGCTTCTTCCCCTGCCTTCTTAACCTCAGCAGCAGCTCCCCCCTGTCGCCTTTGAGAAGAAGCTAAGGGAAGCTCCAAGACAATGCGCCTAGTGCCCGTTTCCTGCCCTCTGTCCTTTCCCGCCGCACGCCTCTGATCCCCATCACCAGCAGCATCCTTGGCACCATGGGTAGATGGGTTAACCCACACCGAAGAAGGCATCCCCAACCAATGAGACGAGGACAGAGTCGCCTCATTGATTCAATAACCCGATTCATCAGTCGTCATCTCTGGTCCGAAGTGTTCCTCCCCCTACGGAGCCGGGTAGCCACAGTTCGCAACCGTATGCCCTAGTATACCGCAATGGTAGCAGAATAGAGGCAAATGCTCGTAGACTAAGGTTACCCAGAATTTTCCAGCAACTGGATTTGAGGCATACACCAAAGATCGCAGAGGTTCAGTGACATTGATCATCACTCGGACTTTGATGAAATAGCCAGGCATCCCCTTAAGTCCATAGAGCCCCGTCTCCATCGGTTCTCCGAGCTTGCCTTGAGCTATCCTCAAACCGAAAGCAGTGGTTCTTCAGTGCGAAGGAACCCCCCACATTTGCACCCAGAATGGTGCAAAGGAGAAGGAATCCACCACCGATCTCGATATTGGCTCCCAAGGCTGAAGTTGCAGCACCCTTTCTTTCACTGGCTATGGGGTACGCTGGAGTACCCAATCCATTACCTTCTCATCCTCGAACAAGAAATGAAGCAGCCCCTGTTAAGCTTCGGGTAGTGATGGCATCGAGCTGCTGGTGAGGCTTGCGAGGATGCAGAATAGTGGTGGCAGACAGAGTTCCCGGTGCTCTGGTGGTGTTCTGGCGGGCTATGCCTCCAATCTGGTTCTGGAGGTCCAGAAGTATGGCACCCTGGTGCTTCTAGCCTACCTCCAGCGAGGTGATGCACTGATCCAGCCTGACGAAATTTGCCGTGCTGGCACTCACGAAGGTCTGCACCATGTTCTTCAGCTATGACATCTAATCATCCTGTGCTAGAGCTGCTGCCGGCTGGGCATTGTTACGTCCCGTTCCGAAAAATCCCATATTTCGATTGCTAGAAAGTTCGCGATTTAAAATCGAGCGTTTTGATAAAATTTCGGTGAAAATCGGATTATCAATCGATCGGATAAATATACGTATTAAGTATATATATAATATATTATATATATATAATTACATTTGGCGGTCACTAATATAAATCCATCCCCCATCTTCTTTTGTCCATTATTTTAGTTTATTTTTGAGACCGAGAGAAGCAAAATCCAGAGGGTCGAGCAGAGCGAACAGGGGAGCTCGGGGAGAATTTCCAAAGCTCGAATCTTGAGCTCTAGTGATCCAAAAATCCCGTAAGTAATGCCTAATTCATCTATTCATCGTGATTTATCGATTTAGAGCTTTAAAACGAGTTTTTGGTTCAGAAATTTCTTGAATTCCCGATAAGCTAAATTAGGATTTCGGAGTATCCGGAAGCCGGATAGAGCCCAAATTTCATATACGAGCTTCCTGCAGCGAGGTAATCAATCCTCTAGTTCTAATCCCTGAATTTCGGCAATTATTTAGGCCGGGGTCCAAATTGCTGGATTTAGCTCCGGCCAGGGTTTGATGTGTTTTTATCAAGAATTTGACCCGGAGCCTAGAACTAATATTGACGGGGATACTGCAGGGGATATTAGGACTGTCTCGGATTTTAATTCGGGGTTCGTTCGTGAAATTGACGTTTTAGTCCGGGAAGGTTAAACCGGTGTTTGAACGACCAGAACTGGTGAGGGATTAGCACGGCATACTGGGTTTGTCGTATCACGATAATTATATTGATGCTTAGAATTGACCTAGGTGAACTAGAATGGCATGATTAGGGGTGTATGGAATTTTGTGCTATATGATGAACCCTGGACCTGCTGTTTGATATTATTGACTTGCCCTAATCGATATGAACCTTGTTTATGTGGATGATTGCATACATGTTGCCATTTGTGGCTTAACTGTTGATATGACTTCATGGTTGTTCGATAAGGGGTTTTGACATGGTGTGATATTATGGTTGTATTTGGATCCATAAGTGGGGGAATAAACTTCCCAGGGTGATATTATGATGTTTAAGGAGGATGACTTGCACAAGGGTTTATCCCGAGGAAGTGCAATTATACGACTCCTGATTTACCTATGTTGAGCAAATTATGGCTAGGTCAAGTACATGTGAAAGTAATGAATTATGATTAAGCAAGATGAGATATGAATCATGTATAAGGATACTAAATATGAGTGTTGTGGTCTCACGGTCAACTACATAGTAATTAGGGCTCCCTATGCTATTACTCTATTATGATATGTATGATAGTCACACCTCTAATGTGGTGGTGACTGAAGAGTTCTTACGAGATATGACCACACCCAGAGCGGTGTCGGGGTATGACTACACCCATAGTGGTGTGGGGTATGTATGACCACATCCGACGGGATGTTGGGGTATGTATGACTACATCCGACGGGATGTGGGGTATGTTTCCCAGGAGAGTTATTAGCATGGAAGTAGCCAGACACCTATAAGTAAAACATGATAAGATGCATATGCATAAGTCAAGATGGTGAGTCTTTTGCCTATTGGGATGTCGGATGGCTGAGGTCCGATCCTAGTGTTTTGGCTTGATTGCTAGATGTATGGTAGGCGTATGCTTTGTTATGAACTCACGATGCAATGATTGTCTCACTCAGCCATGAGCTGACCCTCTTTTTCCTTTTTCTCTGCTTATGCCATGTGTAAGCAGATCATCAGCATCAGCAGCAGTAGATAGGTGTATAACTGGAAGCTGAGCAAGAGTTGAAGGAAAGATGAGGTACGGTCTTCAACTATTCTGTGCTTGGACTACTACTCGGGATTTTGGCCAGTGATCCACACCTTTTTGTAAAAGAATGTTTTGAGAGCGTTTTTCATGTGCATACTAGCTTCTTATGTAGTGTGAGATATCCACAGGTGTGGAAAGTTGATGACATGTGCATATGTTGTGCAACTGTGTAAGTTGTGACGATTATGGTATGTATAAGTATGGTATGCAGTTGTGGAGTATGGAAACTGTGACTTTGGCTATGAAAGTCCATGTATATGGTTGTGAGTATATATATTTGTCTATGAATGTATGGATTCAGATGAATTATTTTGCAGGATTAGATGGAAGAACTGTTAGCCCATTACGCGAGTAATTCATGTCGAAATTTTATTTAGGTAAATTTGGATAATTAATGTAACACCCGAGATTAATTCCGTTGCAATTGTATGAACAATATGATTAGTCAAAACGTATAGGGTAGGGTGTTACAGTTTGGTATTAGAGCCCGGTTCCCTCTTTTTGCTGTTATGGCGTACTATACCCGATGGGAGGTTAAACACTCCTAAGGAGGGGAGTACCCCATAATGACTTATACTGGGAATTGAGTTTGACATGATTATGTGTATTGGTATATTGGATGAAATTACGTGCATCATGGTTTTCAAAATTGAGTTTTGAACTTATTTGTTTTCAAGTAATTATTTTGGGAAAATTTTTGTTTTAACCAAGTGAGAGATTTGGTGAAGAATGAATTTTGTGTGGATCAATCTAAGGCCAATATTTCCTTGTAGCTCGCACGGAAGTTGTCATAATGTTCCTACTGACCAGTCGAGAGGAGTGGGGGAGGTTGATGCAAAACCACCAGTATTAGACTATGCAAAGATGAAGAGTTTGGGTGGTAGGGACTTCAAGGGAGATGTGAGCCCAGATGCTGTAGTAGAGTGGTTGAGAGAGATGGAAGATGTGTTTGAGTATCTTTATGCGACCCCAGAGGAAAAAGTGCAATATGTTGTTTTTCTCCTAAAGGGGTACGCGAGGAGCTGGTGGTCCTCAGTCTCTAGAGTTAATGGTGAACGAGTTCAGTTTACATGGGAGGAGTTTCTGAAAGCCTTTAAGACAGAGTTTCTTCCCGAAGCTTTTATCAGGGCAAAGAATAATGAATTCGCCAACCTTAAGCAGGAGAACATGACAGTTACTGAGTACACCATCAAGTTTGTTCGACTACTCTATTTTGAGGATGGGTTAGCGGATACTGAGCATAAGAAGAAGATGAGATACTTGCATGGTCTGCGCATAGGATTGAAAGAAAAGATCTACAGGGTTGATGAAGAGAGAATGTCCACAATCAAGGAGGCAGCACTTAAGTATGAAGCCTATGAAGTTGAGAGCCGAGAGGAACACAAGGCCAAAGAATAGGAGAAGAAGAGGAAGTTTGGAGTAAATTATGCTGGACCTCGTTACCCACCCAGGAGAGGTCCTAGCAGTTTTGGGAGAACACCAAGTCAATCTATGTCGAGAACATCATATAAGGCATCAGTTTCCTCAGCCACACAATTTCCATTTTGTCAAGTTTGTTAGAAGAGGCATCTTGGAGAGTGTAGGAGATTTTCTGGTGTATGCTTTCACTGTGGCCAACCTGGGCACATCATGTGGGACTGTCCGTATTCGAGAGAAGTAAGAGCTACACAGTCCGAGCCTTCAGTGCAATTTAGTAGAGCCCCATTCAGGGGTGGTTACCAGGGAGGCCGTAGTGGATTTCAGAGTGGTCGTGGTGGTTCACAGGGTGGTAGAGGTGGTGGTCGAAATCAACCATCAGGAAGTGGTACGCAGGGTACCGGAGCACAGGGAGCACCAAGGGTTTATGCAATGACTCGAGGTGAGGCAGAAGTGGCACCAGAAGTTGTGACTGGTATGCTTTCTATCCTTGGCAAGCAATTATATGCTTTGATCGATACTAGTTCCTCTCACTCATTCATGTCATATACGTTTGCACATATGCTACGCTTAGTTCCAGATAAGCTAGGTTATACCTTATGTGTTAAAACACCTGTGGGAGATACCTTGAAGGTAGACTCAGTTATTAGAAGTTCCTTCATTTGTGTGGATGGAGCTTTCCTAGCAGCAGATTTAATTCTGCTACCTTTTGATGAATTTGATGTCATCCTTGGAATGGACTTTCTGGCAACACATGGAGCTGTTGTGGATTGTCAAAAGAAAGAAGTATTATTTAACTCACCAGATAAAGGTCCTGTTGTATTCTGAGGCATTAAGAAAAAGGAGACTCATGGTTTTCATTCTGCCTTGGAAGCTTTTCAATTAGTGAAGGAAGGTTGTGAAGCCTTTCTTGC